GATGGCAACACTGTTAAATCAACGGTTTGACTATTTTTAGAAGTAGACCTAGTGGATATGGCTTTAGAAATCGGAGGCTCCAATGCCTGAGGGCATGGAGAAGATAAATTAATAAGTTCTAAGGACTGTGATGGAGGAGTTTTTTTTACTAGAATCTGTGGCTGTCTTTTTAGGTGGACTAATAACATGCCCACCTTTATTTTCTCGGCTATCCTCAGAGTGTGGAGGGTCGTCGAGACAAGTGAAAGACTTAAACATTTTTTCGTAATGCTTAAATTTCTCAACAAGCGCCGACAGATCCTTCCCGATCTCAGAAAAACCATTTCTGGACTGCCGGAAGAAGAAAAACCATTTCTGGACTGCCGGAAGAAGAAAAACCATTTCTGGACTGCCGGAAGGTATATCTTCCATAGGTATATCTTCCATAGTGTTGTTTAGGTATGGTTTTCCATATATGTATCTCCTCTATCTATGTATTCTGTAAATATATACATTTTTTCAAATGCAGTAATTTGTTAAAGTAAAATTTTTAGATCTTCATGAAAGGTATGAAGCCTTCGGCATAGCCGGAGACAGCGGTGCTCTTACTTGTTTAATAAATAAAATATTTCTACTACAAATGTGTCTGAGGTTTTCAGTAGCTTCCTGAGAGCCAATGCTAAGCAGTTTTGGCTAATAAGAGTATATTATTAACTAGAACTTCCATACCCTTCTTTTAAAAATTACCATCTTCTGGCCGGTTGTATACAAATATTTACAGTCGCCATTTAACAGCGTGTAACAGACAGTTTTACACACAAGAATATTTATATACTAACGAAAATAGAATTTTTGATGTGCAAACATCTTTCCTCTCGGTATGGGTATGGAGTTAAATTTTCCGATATCTAAATGATATTACATCACTTCTGAAAAATAATGTTCCAATATATACATATGTATACACATGCAATTGTGGCCGCTGTGGTGTAGTGGTAAGCAGTGCGTGCTTCCACTTCGCAGGGCCTGGGTTCAAGCCCTGGTCAAAGCAGCATCGCAAAAAAATGTTGAAAAAGGGTTTTTTCTTAACTGCGGTCGCCCCTCGGCAGGCAATGGAAAATCTCCGAGTTTATTTCTGCCATGAAAAACAGCTTCTCATAAAAATACAATCGCCGTTCGGAGTCGGCGTAAAACTGTAGGTCCCTCCCCTTTGTGAGATAATATCAAGGCGTACGCAACAAATCGGAGGAGAAGCTCAGCCAAACACTAATATATGTGTAAGAGCCAATCTATTATTATTATTATACATATGCAATTACATTCTACAGTTTATAACGTGTAACAAGAGCATTTGCTCACAAATCTTTTCCAAATCAGCTGCTAAAAAACGTTTAAGTACATGTTTGACATTAGCATTTTTTCTAAATAAGTGGTTGACTTCTCCCAAAATTTGTGGTGTGTGCATTTAATCACAAGTTACAAGACGAACTAAATTAGTCCGAAGTATATAATTCGTTTACGTTTAAGAACACACACATACTTACATACATATGTATGTACATGTAAGTATCCGAAATTATTTTATCCGTATATCTTGGCTACAGTAGAGATTTCTAATAATACTCATGTGCGTTAAATTATGACATGTGGTTTCAAATCTGAGTAAGCCAAATAATGAAGCAAATATATGCAAGGAGTGAACATGTAATACAAGTGTATGCCTTTAACAGTCGTACTGCATGTGACACGCTCATATGTACATATCAGGGTGGTTGCGAATATTAGCATTCGCATTCGCAACCGCGGAGTTTTCGCATTAATTTTAACATTCGAATTCGATAAAACAGATTCTGGCAAACAAAATGACAAATTGCAACCAATATTTTTTGCCTGTGGTCGTGTTACCCGGGCGCCGCACATGTGAATATTTGTGTAACAAAACTGGTCAATGTCATAGTTATCAACTTTGATAAAAGTGTCTCTAAATAAATTATTTCTTAAGCTATATAACCGAGCTATCAATGGGCAGTCATACATGTTCTCACTTCTACTTGACCTTTGACGTACGTCAAAGAGAACATTGTCCTTTTAATAATATTCTTTTTTTTTCTGTGCTTTAAATACCTGAATTGGTTTCTTTCTTCATTATGATTATTTGGGCAATATCGTTTCCAAAGGGCTATACATTGGATCCTTGGCTAAAAACTTCTGTGGTAAAACTCTCCCCCTACGTCTTCGTTCTTTGCTATTTAAAGCCAAAGAGTAAGCTCCTTCAATAGGGATTTCCAGCAGAAATTGTTAACGTTTGGCTATAAAGAGAATCGATGCTCAAATAATTAAAAAGCTTTAGATCTGACCTTTAATTAGGTAGGAATAATTCATTTTTCATATCCACCTTCATATTTAGCTCGCTATAAGCACAAATTTTGCAAACTAGTCGCAGAAGAAAGTATTAAAAATGAATTACAAAAACTACAATCAAAAAACGCTGATGACGTTACAGGTTCCCCAAATCCTGAAACAGCCAATGGAATGAGAATGAATAATTCTTTTTAAAAAGTTTTAGGGCGCGTTCACACAGAAAGTCGAGCTGTGCCGAGCAAAGCAAGGCGGAACAAAACGCAGCTGCTGGTGTTCATACTGAACGAAGCGAAGAGGAGCTTTTGTCATGGCAAAGATACTACAAAACTTACTGTCAATGAAAAGCAGCGAATATATTTGCTCAATTTTTTTCAAAATATTAGTTGTAAAATTCGTTTTTATTTGAATATTTTAATATCTTGTTTGCAGCAGCGCCATGAAGCTGAGAAATTGAATAGAAAATTGAAAATCAAAAACTTCTTTGTTTTCAGCTCCAAAACTCTTATGAAAAAGCTTTCTGTGTGAACACTTTCATGCAAGCCCTCGGCTCGGCTCCGCTTTCTGTGTGAACGCACCGTTAGAAAAACCAGACACATCTGGTTTGGCTTGTAAGCGGTGTTTAAACAACGATCTCGCCATTATCCTAGGTTCTTCTAGTGAAGATGAAAGTTAGGAGGATACATCCGACATTTTCAGCCCCGATGCAATTCTCATTACTTTTTAATAAATATAATGTTCCAATTTTTAAATTCTCGTACTTTATAAAATAAACGTTAAAAATTACTATTCTTTAATTTTTTTTATTTACCTAAATAACTTAATTTACTTACTTAATTTAATTGTTTCTTAAAAATACTTGACATCCGCATCCGCGGATGTCTATAATTCCACATTCGCAACATCCCTAGTACATATGTTTATTGTACACATATATAAGAGCATATAATAATACACGGAAAATATTACTTAAATATGTGAACGAACAAACAATTCAAGCATTTCATGCCCTAAGGGAAGATTCGGGAGTACGCATACTCTACGTTCATTCTTGCTTAGGTATAATGTTACGTATACGCCCTGTATCCATGGATTTCTAAATCAACAATCTTGCCCCCACTAGCAGTAAAATGAAACTGTGCCAAAAAACGCGGGTATGGTGAATTTATACAGATCCAATTACACCATACATTTACCTCGCATGCGCCATTTTTCACTCATGACACTTGAGAGTTTTTTTTCCAAATTACACATTTCGTAAAATTAAAACCCTGAGTGGTGGTGAATATGAATAGCCTAAACGACTTCATGCCGGATATGTAGGTGACATGAATTTTTATTACTAATATTTATTTTATTTGTTTAGTCTCATTCCAGCCAGAGGTCCATAAAATATTTTGAATGTACCGCGAATAAACGCCTTTTTGTCTTCTCTCTAGTCATGACTGCAAAATAATTCCATTTGTAACCATCTACATTATTATATATGCTTAAAATTTGATTTGCTTGTGGAAACATAAATATTTTTGCGAATTTGTGGGAAACGCAAATTACTTCTTTAATTTATTTATAAAAAATGGTAATTGATCAAATAAATTTTATTACCTAGTCCCTAATAAATGAATATTTTACACTCATATTACTGTTAAGTGCTTGGCCCAGCTTCCCTTCTAAATTTTGAAATGCAGGTTAAGTAGTAACTGCTTTCAGAAAACATATCTTTTGTATGTCGCGCGAAAGGGGCATTTAACGTCTCTAATACCTTCTTAGAAATATTTCTTTGTTGTGTTCATCCCGATTGACGAAAGCACTTAAAAGATCCCATAAACTCAGAAACTTTATGCTATTGGTGATACAGCATAGAATTTTGTGACAACTCCTGTGCTTAAATGAGCGATTATCTTTGTATGAATGTAGGAGTTGCCTATACCCCGCGATGTCTGAATTTGGCATCCCCGCCAAACTGATACGACTGTGCAAAATCACGTTGAGCAATAGAACCAGAACTGGGAAAGAACTCTACGAGCCGTTTGCCACCAAACGAATTTTCAGAGAGGGCGACTCCCTCTCTTTTGAATTCTTTCATCTGATGTTGGAGAAAACAACAGTTGTTGATAAATAGTTATAATTTCGAGAAAGTAGAGAACTTCGTTTATTATTAGCACCGAAAAATTATGTGAGCATGAAAAATTCCATCGCAGAAACGCTCTTGCCAGCAAATGCTACTTTGAACTGAGTAGGCAATTCAGAAGTTTAGTCCTCTCTCGACGTACGAAAACCGTATTCTATAAGTCACTCATCATGCCCGTGCTGGTATATGGGACAGAATCATGGAGTTTTCGAAAGAAAGACTTTACAGAAGATTTACGGGCTTTTACGGCGAGTACCGCAGACTATGGACGATGAACTGTGTGAGATTTATAACGACATGGACATAATGCAGCGAATTAAAATCCAACGGCTCCGCTTAAAAGACCACGTGGAGAATGACTTTGCTTCACTTGGCATTTCCAATTAGCGTCAGGTGGTTTGTTAAACTCGGTAAAAGTCGCTTAGGCGGTTAGAGCGCCAAAGAAGAAGGTATCGGCGTGATCAAGCGGAAAATAAATAAAAAATTTAATTCTACCTGGATCACGCTAAGGAGGTATAACTTCTCTTGATTAAATGACCATGCTAATTTTAATTCTTTTATTGGTTTGAAATTTTAAAATTGAACTGTACAGTAGTTTTGATTGGTAATAGCAAAACTATGACTCATTATGCTCTAAACACAATCTGTGTGAAAGATGACAATTTTTGGTCAATAGCTTAGGCTCGCCCAAGTCCATCAAAGTTCAACGTACTCAAAAAATAAAATTTAATAAATACATTGATTAATAAATTTTGTTTAATAAAATTACAATTATCTTCGACAGTATTAGTCCTAGACCAGTAAATTGCAGTTTTTTTTAAATGATATTGCCAGTTCGTATAATTGCATAGGTGAAGCAATTTATCTACTTGTAGGTAACTGTAGGCTTGCACGGGTAGCTAAGCGTTTGATGTTCCCTCGAAGTCCACCGCATCGCCCCTTTCCGTGAGATCTCGCTGGAAAATGTATCCCTGCTTTCGATGCGTTTAATAAAATATGTAGATTCACAAAGTTGAATCTATTTTTTAAATTAAATTTAAATACAACTATTGATTTTCTAAAAGGGGTTTTTGTGTAGTATTTTTTAGGTGGCGTAAAAAGTGGCTGTATCATTTATTTAGTCATCTGCTTGTTCGTTATGTACAACTAAGCAATAATTCTCCTTAGTCGAAATTTTTTCTAAGATTTTTAAAGTGGTCGATGCCAAATTACCTTTGAATCTAGACGTCTGTTACTTCACTGTTATTGAAAATGTCTTTCAAATGTTGACGAATTGCATTTGGTCTAGAGCAAGATTTGCAACATGCTTTTGGGGGTAGTTTTGCGCTCATTAAATGCCACATCAGCGTTGAGTTGAGACAGATCATCTTGCGCAAGCAATCCTTATAGAAATTTCCATGGTAGTCGCAGCTGTAAGATTAGCAATGGTGGTGAGTACAACAAATATCATCCCTACCAGAACATTTTACGCTATACTCCAATACAATTACATTTCCGTTTTCAAACCTCAAAAGCAATCATAAATTACTTATGCTCGAACTCACCCCACCGTGAAAAACATGAGAAATAGGCAACAATCGTCAACAATCGTCAACGGCAAAAAACTGGCGACTCACCGGTTCATTGCCGTGGTGACAACTCGGCAACATCATTTCTTTCATGCCAATTTTGGAATAAATAAGTTATCGAAAATTCCCAAGCTTTTAAATTTTCCGTCAACAGTATTATCCAAAAGCGTCTAATTTATAACAAAGACAGAACTGAAAAAATAGGAAGCCCCATATGTAATGGTCGACTGGATTGTAAATAAGAAATTGTTTCTTATTGGAAAAACAAGTAAGAGCAGCGCTGTCTTCGGCTATGCCGAAGGCTTCATACCTTTCATGAACATCTGCAAATTTTAGTTTGACAGATTACTGATTTTGAATACATCTGCATACATCGATAGAGGAGTTACATACTTATATAAAAAATCGCATCTAAACAATCAGAGGTATGGAAGATATACTTTATATGGCACCAATCTAAGTGATTTTCACTGCTATGTGATCTTTTGTCGGTTGGAAATGCATTAAGAGTAATTAAACCAAAAGTATTTGTTCAACTACAGCAACAAAAACACAAATATAATGCCGACGAAATAACATCCATAGAGATGCAATGGCAACGGTTAACGTTACAAATC